TTAAACATGAATATTCCTAAATAAAACAAAATTGATTGCTTAAAATAGGACAAAAATTATCAATAAAAATAAGAAAGAAATCTCATAATAAATATATTAATCATAATTTAAAGAAATTATCTAACTTAAAAAATCTTATGCAACATATAACTTTGATGTTAGATATTGATATCAAAAGAATTGAGTAAAACAACCTATATAGAAAAATATTATTGTAATATTAAGAATTAATACACATAACTTAACTTGGAAGAAATATCTATTTTATTCATTCATTTCATGTGGTGTTTTAAGATAAAAATTTATTTAAAAAATTAACCCAAAGGAAATAGGTATATATATATATATATATGTGTATATATGTATATATATATATGTATATATGTATATATATTTATAAGAATAATTTATTTTAATAAATGAAGATTACTGATCTAACTTATTAAGTGTTTGTTGCATGGAAAATAAGTAAAATTTTCTTGTCCTTTAACAAATACATCTTCATGTATCCTACAATTAATTTGAAGGTCTCGAAGGTTCTCATATGATTCGCTTTTTTCTTGCAAAATGAATTATCAAATCTCAAATCATGTATGAAGAAAAAAATTAAAAGTGAAAAGAATTGAAAGAATAACATTTTAGATTTTCTGTGTCAAAATTTGATTATTTCAATGGTTCTCATATGATTTTCATTATCTTGTAAAATAAATTATTAAAATCTCAAATTATGTATGAGAAAAAAAATTAAGAGCGAAAAAAGAAAAGATAAGAAAGAATATCATTTTTCTACGTGTCCAAAAATTTGATGGCCTTAACGATTCTTATATGATTCTCATTCTCTTACAAAATGAATTATTAAATTTCAAATTATTTTTAAAAAAAAAAATTAAGAGTGAAAAAGAATAAAAAAAGAATCTCACTTTAGATTTCTTATGAGAATTGGTGTGACATAAGAATTAGAACACACAAAAGAGTGAAGAATTGAATATGTTAATTTAAGTTAAAATTGATAATAAAAGGTGGATTGAATGTAACAATATAAAGGAGAGATGTAATAAAAAAAATGCTTAAAAATTGACACAAGCAAATTTAGTGACGTGGTCTAAGATAATACAACATGTGACAGCGTGATATTGAATAGTTTAACTTTTATATTATAAATATATTTATAATTGTATAATTTTTTTAAAAAAACTTTAAATACTTTTAATTACATTTAAATTAAAAATTACATGCGCATCACACGTTATGTTTTCTAGTATAAATTAAAGCAAACAAATACTAGGTATAATTAAAAAAAAATATTGGAAAACCATATATAAACGTGATCGATCAAATAATAAATTATACAGGAGTTGGGCGATTCATAAATCTTACTATATTTCTGGGTAGTGTCAAATCACACAACCATTGCCATCCGTGGCGATCCAACCTCTCTAATCAAATTGAATATTCTTAGGTCATAAATATTCTTAATTATACTGATATATAATATAAATTAAGGAATGAGGATAAAAAATGACTCCTATGGAGAACATTTAGAGAAACTAGAGCTAGTAGTGGACAATTTCAAGGCAATATTTTAATGAAAAAGAAAGAACTATATTATATGTCGTTGTTAAAATGGAAAGGGTAAACATAATGGGTGAAATGTATGCAGTATTGCAGTGTATACTATAGCAGGTGTGAGTCTTTTTAATTTCGTCCAATACCTAGAGAAGAGAATAACGTAATGCAAATATTCGTCTTAACTAGCAGGAAACAAAAAGAATTAGTTATATATATAAATTGTCGTGATCATGTAATTAATTAATTATCTTTTTGAAGAAACTTGCGTGTGTTTTTTGTACTCAACATAGTATATACCGATTTGAAAATTTCAAATTCTCTGCGTAGACAAAATGACAATAAATTATAGTAAAAAACGTTTTCCGTAATGTTACTAGTTTTCACCACCCACAATAATATATATTCTTTAGAGTATTAGGAATATTTTAGCCCATCGAAATACTAAAGTTCAAAATAGATATTACTATAAAAAAGAATAGAAAATACTATTTTTTTAATCAGAAATTATAGGAAACAGCGCAATTGTTGGGGAAATATCAAACACAACGAGCATCCAAAACGAGAGAACACAGAAATGAGTTTGCATTTCCTACCGTCGATTTTTCCACTTCAAAGAGAAGTGGTCCTAAATAATATACACCACAGAGGAAACAATATAACACAAGAAAATGAGTTAACATCTCTTGTTACACCTACAAAAATGTCTCAATAAATATGTTTAATATCTCAAACAGGAACACAAATTTAGTAGAAATTACTTTAATTCCTTCTCCAAAACTAGCATATCACCTTACAAACCTCTCAAAGGAATAATAAGTATTCGCTCAGACTCTATCACTAAGCGATCAAACACTCAATTGCACTATTCTCTTGGATTTGGATTGGGATGATACAACTCTTTATGATCCCCTTTATATAATGGTGAAGTGTGACTTTTTTCAATATTAAACATGTGCCTATTATGTTCCCAAAAGTCATAAGGTTAATTCCAACAATTTATGGCGCATTAAAATATCTCAATTCAATTTTTTTAATTTATAAAAATTATAATGATAACAATAAAATTCAAACATATATAAGACCATATACTTACTATTACTTCAAGAGCGCCTCTCCTTTAATTTTTACACTTATCTTGTACATGGCCTCTCACCCCCAGAATAGTAATAATTCACATTAATTACATCATATCACACTAACGATTTTGATCTTCCTCATGGATCACTTTGTCTTTTCGACTGACTCCTCCCATGTTTATACTCCTCCACGGTATATAATATGTCATTGGTATTCTCATTTTTCATTTTCTCATAAGGATGTCGTCACCTCATTTGACCTCAATGTTATCTTATCTATAATCAACGTTTGAATAAAGGTTTGAAAGATTTTGGCTATGATCACTTGTGATTATATTATTTGCATTGAATAATCTGTATTCTAATCGATTAAATGCAATAATTAATGATTCTCTCACCTCTCAAACAATAGTTCCATTCATTAAATACTTTAAGTTTCTCTCTCTCACACATATATATAAATATTTGTGATAATAAGTTGTCATTCAATATTAAATATGCGTGTAAATATATATATATTTTTTTCTATAAACCATATGTATTTTTCACAAGATAAATATGGGGAAATGTTATCATCAAGGTGCTTACAGGGATAAGTGGCTGGAAATTGGGTTGGATAGGACCTGATATAGCAGCTACAACTTAATTATCTTCATGTTGGATACATATACCATAGTGTGTGGGGGGTTTAGGGTTGTCATCTTGAGTGTATAGTTCAATAGATCAAAATCTGGCCTTCATACTTTATTTATGCTTGTTTTAGATTGCAGCATTTTTGTGGTGGGAGAGGATAGATGGTTTAGATACATCTTCTTGGGCCGGTACACGTATCGCAAAAGTTGGGTATCTCTTGTACTCTTTATTCTCTTCTTCAACAATAACTAATTCATTTTTATATATAAGAAACAAATTCTTAATTTATCAAAACCAATAAAAGTAATTACATTAGTTAATAACAAATTTAATATATCATTTGATTTCTAAATATTTTGAAAATTTTTAATTAAGTCTCTAAACTAAACAAAATTGTAATTAGGTCTTTTATTTTTATTAATTTTTATATTTTTATAATTTAGTTCATGTAGTTAAAAATTCATTTGTAATCTGTAAAATTTCACAAAATATTTTTAATATTTGCATGCCTAAACAATCATATTATGTTATCATTCATATCGTCATCCATATGTATCAAAAAAATATTTTGCAAAAAATTTCATAGATTATAAACAAATTTCTAACCTAATGGACTAAATTATAAAAATATAAAAGATGAAGGACCTAATTACAAATTTTTTAATTTACAGACCTAATTGAAAATTCTTAAAAAGTTCAAGAATCAAATGATGTATTAAATTTTAATAATATCATAAATTAAAGAATATTTGTATTAACAAATGAGCATGACATATAATGTTAACATAATATAACTCAATAAAATGCACCCACAATATCATAGAAAATGAATACATGACATTAATAGATTCATAATAAATTAAGAGTATAAATAAATATTATAAATTAATGCATTTAAAAATAAACTTATGTTTCTTATAAATAGGACCAAATGATATCTTTATTTGTTTCTTATATATAAGATTAGACATGCTCCTTTTGACCTATATATATATAAAATCAATTTCATACATATCAAAAAAAGAAGTTAATTAAATACATTTAATTTTCATGATTTCATATAAAATATACTTATTTTTCCTAAATCATCTTTGATCACACCTATAATATATATAGTGCTCTCATATATTGTCCAAAAAATATTTTTAGATTACGAACATTAAATTATTTAATTAAAATTTTCTTATATTTTAATAAAAAAATTTAAGCATTTATATAAATCTAGAAGTAGTATTCTTTTCTTGTTTTAATTTTTTTTTCTCACAAAAGATAAACATGTGGGTAATAAAAGAGTTGTATTTAATATAATTTTATAATATTTTTTTTAACGTTATCTTTCTCTTCTTTTCTTAAGTCATTTTATTGTATAAATTTATATACAATTTCTCAAATAATAATATCTTAAATGGACATATCATGAAGACCCGGTACATGCTTTCTGCACGACTTAGATATCTCAAAAAGAGGACATTTAAGTCAGATTTCTTCATTTGAGTCTGTACTACTGCATTTCCGCCTCATATCTTATGTTAAAAATTAAAGGACCCACATGAATAATTCTCTTAGCCATTGCTGCATTGCTTGCTGTCACAAAGAAAATGCAAGAAAAACGGGAACTTGGACTACTGTCTGATATTGACTGCGTTGGAGCCAACCAGAAAATACCATACAATAATAAAGATTAGCTATACTCCGAAACCTTCAAGTTAGAGTACCAACCACTTCACCTTCCACACACACACACTCACCCTTTATCTAAAGCTCCTTCCATAGTAGACTCATGTAGCTTTCATTTCTTAATTTCTTATCCACCATCTCATAATTCCCTTCTTTAATTTCTTTTCTTTTCCTGAATTAAGGTGAGCAAACTCTCAAATGAAGAAGGGTCAATGTTTGATGTGGAGTCAGAGAAAGTATTCTATGAGCTCTAGTCTTGATGCATCTACTAATTATCCTTCCTCCTATGATGAACACTCATGGGAAGAACAAGCCTTTGCAAAAGATGCAGCTTGGTCTGGTTGCATATGGCCACCACGATCATATTCTTGTAGCTTTTGCAGAAGGGACTTCAGGTCAGCACAGGCTTTAGGTGGCCATATGAATGTTCATAGAAGAGATAGAGCAAGACTAAAGCAGCCATATAGCCCCCAGAATGAAATCATCAGTGATGATCTTGAGAAAACTCAACCCCAGAATTCAGTTCAAATTTCTTTTACTTCTTTGGGTTTTCTGTACCCATCCTCTCTTAGTGGATTGGCTCATAAAACTAACCCTAATTCTGATACTTATTCTCATGTTCCTGCTTCACCTACCAATTTTTTAGCCACATCGGTCAACAAGAGAATCAGAGAGAAACCCTTGATTCCACTTTACAATAGTTCTTCTATTTTCAAAGGGTCTCACGAGTCTTCCCCTGCTCTTTCTTCTAAATCCTGGTCTAGTTTAACTGAAGACTTCAGATTTTGTTCAAGTAGGCTCGATCCTGAAGCTGGTGTTGTGAAAAAACTGAAGGGATTGGATTCTGGGTGTAGGAGTGAGGGTGATGATGGTAAAAGTAAAACTGATGTGGCTGTAAGCTTGAACTTGTTTATGAGTCAAGCTTATCCACTTGTGCAGTTTGAGACTAAAGAGGCAGTAGATACTAGTTTCAAGAAGAGGAAAGCAGATGCTTCATCCATTCCATTCTTCCCCAAATCATGTTCACTTGATAGGCATCATATGCAGTCACAGTTGTTTGAATTTAGCCCTAGCTCTATAGAAGAGGTTGATCTGGAGTTAAGGCTTGGTTACAGGTCCACGGTATAGTAATAAATATGGAGCACCAATTAATTGTTTATAAATATAATTTTACTCTTTTGTTTCCTCTCTTGTATTTTGTTATTTATTTTTATATCGTGTAAGGAAGCTTTTCAGTTTTCATCTTTGATTGATGGCTAGCTCATCATAGAGTGCAATTATAATTGATAGCTCCATTGATTTTTACTAGGTTCATGTAAAAGCATTCAAGATACATTATGGTTCTATGATTTTTAGTTGGAACTTGTGAAGGCATGTAAGATACATATAAATTGTACAAAATATTCCAGTACGATATATAATATCATCTGAGAAATTTCATAACTGGATAAAAAAATTAGCTTAATTACATAGCACCACGAAGCTTATTTAAGTTTTCTTGGTATTTATGCATTTAGAATATCTTTCTCTTGCGCCACAAATCCGGTCACAAAAATGAGTTCTATGTACATTGTTAATCGACAGAACGTGTGCAAGCAGGTGCCGGTTTTCTATTGTAGAATTAAAAAAAAAAACTAATAGAGGAGAAGTTGGAATTTCTCTATTTTATTTCACTATATAATCAAACAATATAATGATATATATATAGACTGATTTTGTCTTTCAGAAGCTCAAAAGCTTAAAATTTTATTAACAGCCTACAATCAAAACCCATTATTGCTAATAACTATTGACTATTGACCTTTTATTTGAATCAAATAAGAAACTGTTAAATTAAAATCATTAAATATTGACATTTAAGTTTATTTCAACAAAACTCCCACGTAAACTTAAATGCTTCTGCCATCCTTCATGCCAATCAATTTCTTTCAGTTGTTGAAAAGTACTATCGGTAGCGGTTTCGTGAAGATATCTGGGACTTGGTGTCGACTTGCCACGTGCATTAATTCCACATTTCCTTCCTTTGAGGTTGACGCACGCGCAATCTTCTCAAAGCCTGACTCATCAACAGCTCGATACAACAGGTACAAAGCCGCCTTATCTTTCGATCGTGTCTCTTTCAACGTTTTGTACGTGTTGGGCAGCCGAATATCCCGTGGTAGTTTCCGGTTCTTCGAAACCTTCTTGGACCACCTCCCAAGCATCTTGAGACTCAAGATGAGCTTTCATTTAGACGCTCCAATTGTCGTAGTTTGTCGCCTTCGTCAATCGGCGCAGCGACAGATAATTGGTCACACTTGCCATTAGCTCTGATACCAATTTGTAGAATTAAAAAAAAAAACTAATAGAGGAGAAGGTGAAATTTTTCTATTTTATTTCACTATATAATCAAACAATACAATGATGTATATATAGACTGATATTTGTCCTTCAGAAGCTCAAAAGCTTAAAATTCTATTAACAGCCTACAATCAAAACTCATTATTGTTAATAATTATTGACTCTTGACCTTTTATTTGAACCAAATAAAAAACTGCTAAATTAAAATCATTAAAAACTGACATTTAAGTTTATTTCAACATCTATACAGAACTTAAAATGGTCATGTAGTTCAGTTCAATAGTTAATTATTTGCGTGTGGAAAAATGTACTTGAACTGAAGTCTCAACTTCGAGGTTTTATATGTCACTATTTGTTTGAAATTTCGAAAGATGTTATTTTATGTATGGTGGATTTTTCTTGTATATGTTACTGGAAGAAGCCTTCCATGCATGCACAGAACCTATTCACCATTGATGCATGCTACTTTTATTGATTATGTGGGTCCATAGTTCTATCCTAAGGTGGATAGGTTTCCTAGAGGAAGAAACATATACGAAACAAAATAGAATTTATCATTTTGTATGTAACATTTTTAGTTTGAGTATTGAGATTAGTGCATGCATGTGGGGTTTTAAGGGGTGAAGGATCCTACTAAGAACTGCATGGAATATTGTGAGCCCGTTTTCCTATTCAGTACTTTACTGACAAATCGCTAAAGTTACCCATATATAAAACATGTTGTTTGAGCGTTTCAAAGCCACATAAAGTCAGATACATCCCAACATCGATTCCCTTTTACTTTGTATTGTAGTCATCACCATCAGATTTGTTGCAGTTAGTATATCACTTACGCATAAAACCATTTCCTTGCATTCTCTGTCTCACCTTTTTCCTTTCCCCACTCTCTTCTAAAATCCCTCCAAAATATGCCACCTAATCCAGAATCAATTGGCTATGATATTATGCTTTGCTTTTATTATATTCACTAGGAGAATATTATCCCAACAAGACTCATTGGACCTAACAACACAACTTTTGTTTCTTCTTCTGTATGCATGAATTAGGTACACACACTTAATGACAAGCTCTCTGAATTATAAAGTGTGAATTCCAACTACCCTATGAATTCTAACCATATAGCTAGTCGAGTCTGCTGCATAAATCGATGCAGGATGCTGGGTGAGCGTAATGGGTACTTCTTTCTGATCGATACCTTTAATGGGAATTTAATGGAGAACCCCTCTTGACTTGAATGGTATTTTTATTTATTTTTTTACCTATAAAAGTCAATTAATTTAAAGACCACTTTCATATAATATTTGGCTCATTTGTTTAACCTTTTTTTCCTCCTAAAATTAGTATTTTTTAATAAAATAAATATACTTTTTTATATCTAAAAATATACTTTTTTAAACGAGAAATATTTTTTGGTGTCAAAATAATAATTACTTTTTTTCTTAAAAATTAGGCTAAAACACTAATTTGGTCCCTTATAATAATTGTTTGTTTCAATTTAGTCTCACTTTTATTTTTGGTTTCAATTTGGTCCCAAACTAATTAATTGGTTTCAATTTGGTCCCTTAAAAATTAATTGGTTTCAATTTGGGACTTCCGTCCAAATTATTTAAACGGAGTTAACTTTTGCCCACGTGGATGCCACGTAGATGCATACGTGGATACCACGTGGATGCCATGTGGATGCCACGTGGATGACAATTTTTTTTGAAAATACCTGGACCCAGAACGACCCATTCTGAAACCGGAACGGGTCGTTCTGGTTTCATTTTTGGTGTATTAATTTTGCATTCAGAACGGTCTGTTCCAAATGCAAAATTAACACACAAAAAATGAAACCCGAACGGCCCGTTCCGGTTTCAGAACGGGCCGTTCTGGTTTTAACTTTTTTTTTTTTAAATATAAAATATTAATAATTTTACAAAATATATATTATTAATTATATTTTAATTATGTTGTTATATCTAATAAAATAAATATTTTAATAAAAATAAGTAATTTTAAAATTTTTACCATAAAAAAATATTTTTCAAAATTATTATATTTTTTAATAAAATTAATAAAGAATATCATAACAATACGATTTTAGTTTCTCCCATTAAAAATTAATAATTTTAATATATATATATATATATATATATAT